TAGCGAGCGATTTCTATTATAACGCTTTGTAAAAGTTGAGCAGCTTGCTCCACCGCGATGGTCTAGTGGCTAAGGTACTCGGCTGCTGACCCGCAGATCGCGGGATCGAATCCCGGCTGCGGTGGCTGCATTTCCGATAAAGGCGGAAATGTTGTAGACACGTGTGCTCAGATTTGGGTGAACGTTAAAGAACCCCAGGTGGTTGAAATTTCCGGAGCCCTCCACTACAGCGTCTCTCACAATCATTTGGCGGTTTTGGGACGTTAAACCCCACATATCAATCAACCGAAAGTGAAGTAGCTCAAGGGCATTCCTTAGGCACTCCAACATAATGACGTAACATTTCGTGTAACAAAAGCGACATCATCGCAGCCTGTGCAGCTGCGTAGCTGATCAGGTGCGTATCACGATGAGCGTGATCCGTTGCTGAACACGTGCCGGGGGTGAGTGGCTTCAGACTGCCACGTGGTGACACCTGGTGCAAGACTCGCTGGAGTGCAAGAAGCTCATATATGGGAGAGCACAAGTGATTACTGACGCCGTTGGACGTCTCTGGTGGATTGTTTTCGGTACCAGTGTGAAAACATGTTGCATAGAGACATTATTTGACGCATTAAGGAAAAACAAAACTTCTGTGGCAAAGTCTAAATGTGCAGCGTCCTATTTAGACTGTGCAGGCGCACCATGTACAAGAATAGAAATGCTGATTTAATCAATATGGGTAACTGCTGCGATAAACACCAAGGACGCTGCCGACTGACATCGGCATTAAACGTGGCAGTGGAAGCGAGTCCACAAAGCTGTAACGCGCTAGGTTGACTTGATTTTATGCCATGATGCAAGTTATGTCACCTTCAGTTGGCTTTGCAGTTATTGTTTTATACAATTCTCGCTGTATTGTGTTCGCAACTGCACCCGTTTCTCATCACCATGATTCCAGTGCAACTAGTGTACACCACGTAGTCATTTAAGACTACCTGATCCCAATTTTTCACCAACCTTGGCTGGTTTACAAATAAAGTGTCGCGGTTACATGCGGATAAGCGAAGCCTGAGGCTACGGCTTCACTTGCCATCCACGGAAGCTTTCTTTCGATGAGGGTGAAAAGCGAAAGAACAGCTGTGTTCTTGACTTTAAACTCCTACAAATGAGTTTCATGTCGTCCAGATTAGCCTTGAGTAATAAATATGACATAATATTGAGGTACTGAGATCGGTACCCAGCACCTCCATCAGATGTCACGAGGTCGTGGCGTAGATGAAACGAGAAAACTACAGGTCGAATAATAAACTGTTTGTTCGGGCCAAAGTTGTGGTCACGTAGAAGAAAAGTTATAATACAGCGAGACACTGGCACTGGTAGCGGCGAGCAGAGCGTCAGCCGTCAATACTGACAAGTGGCGCAGCGTGTCGGCATTTACACCATTTTCATCGAATATAGCGTTATCGCTAGCGGCGACGTGGGTTCTCGGATGTTCTGTATTGTTCACGAAGTGAGCGTAATTTTAACAAAACGATCCGCTACAGCCTCAAACCCTCTTAAGGCAATAAGATTGCTTAGGACAATAACAGGGTGCTGCCCACAGCATGGGGTCAAATTTCTCAAAGCTGCTTATTTTCAATACAGTGCGACCTGACCGAAACACAATTGATAAAAACGGGAAAATAAAAAGTATCAGCAAAAAAACGTATAAACCAAACAAGTTACTAGAGGAGGCAACTATGCGCACTCTGGGTCGAACCAGCTCTTACTAAACCATGTTGAAGTAGTTGGTCAGTTAGCGCCGGACTTTCTTCTGTTCTACATCTAGGAGCAACTTTTTTTAAAAGTATTTTTCTGATTCGTTCTGAACTATTTCACCTGAAACAGAATCATCGTCTCTGCTAGCAAAGGTTACGCATGACACCGCACGTTTCACCACAAAACTGACTCTGCTGTGGTCTCAGCAGCTGTGCAAAGTGCAGATGTATAGAGGCTTGTTAGAAAGACGTTTGAACTAACATACCTTAGAATATCCGTAAGATTTATGAAAATATAATATTAACGCTAAGTTATAAAAACAGTACTAAATAAACAGCAACACCCTAGAACGTGTATCTAGTTTAATGCCAAAACATCAAGCAATCAACACAAGGAGCCCCGAAAGGTGGGAACTACCGAGGTTCGGTACAAATATACCTATCACTTGTCACGCTATGGACTTCCCCGAAACTTAAACAGAGAAACACCATGTAGCATGGTACATTAAATGCTTTTGATTTAGGACCTTGTGTATGCCCTGGGACAACTTATTGCTCTCCCATAGTAGCATACTTCCTACGGTAAATTGTCGTACATTTATTCTAAACACATTACATAATGATGCGTGATAGAGTGAACATGTCTGTCTCTGGAAACACCTACGTGGTAGTATTCATAATGCGATATATTTTTGTATAGAAATTCTGTTTCATCTTTTTTGTGTATTCTGTCTATCAACTTTGTATTGTCGCTTGAACGAGATGTATTTGTGTTTGGGGATTTCTTTTTTGTATTTTGCATCCGAAAGTACTTACGTACTACTCACTCTGATTCTTTTTATTTTCAGTTTTTATTCATATGATAACTTTTGTGTTTGAGCTTTCCATAATGTGTTAATAGGAAGTACAAGTGACAGGTTTGTACAATATAATTCATGAGTGTTATGACCAGCCTTTTTTTTCTGTATTGGTGTTGATCTACTGTAATCATTTGTTGTTTTGTTTCTACCTGAAAAATTGAGGTCATAGACCTCCTTAAACCCTAATGGATTTTTGTGGATGGTCGTTATTGTATAAAATGGAAGCCGCACAACTACGAAGTGATGCACATCGATCATTGGCATGACGATAGTGTATTCTGTAAATAAGGGAAGATTATGACAGTGGCGCTCTTCCGAAGTTCAGTTTCACTAGTGAAGTTCGTTAGTGTTTATTTTTTGTTAATATTAAGCCAACAGATCTAAAAGCGGTAATAGGCTCTTCACAAGAACTGCTGAAATCTTCCCACTTGACACGACTACCTTTCTCTAGAAAGTAAAAACTGATTAGAATGACGACTAATTGATGATGAACAGGATAACTGATTCCTCTGCTAAGTCGAAGAGGCCTGCTGTCACAGAGAGAAGCGAGAACGAGGAAAGGCAGGAAAGTTAACCCATGTTTGCCTTGGTTGGCTCTCGTACAACTTGGATGAGAGAAAAGGAGAATAACAGGCAGGAAATAACAGAGAGGAAAAAAAGAAGAGAATGGAGTGTGAAGTTTTCTCTATGTATACATTTATGGCCATTTTCAGCCATATTACTTGTACATAAATCTATTAGATCAGCTTATATTGATAACAATGTAACCAAATTATCACCTTTAAATATTTAAAAAAAAAACTAGTGACATCTAAGGCTTGTTTGTTTTTCTTCTTTAGACGCAAGATACTGACAGCTAACATACAGTGATGCCAAGAAAAGTATAATGAATGCTATCAGAAGTAATTGTAATTTAAGTGTGAAGAAAGGAAAGTGAATGAAAATGTAATTTGCCTCTGGCAAGAATCAAACCGGTGAACATCAAATAACGAGTTTGATGCTCTACTAACTGAGCTAGGGCGGCGGTTGTACTTCCGGCCACTTTAATGAGTATATATGTGCATTTAAAAGAGGTAATGTTAGTCAGCGCCACTGGTATTTATGATGGCGAGTGGGCAAGACAATTTGTGTCCATTGGTGTTACGTAAGATATGATTTTATTGCGAGCTGACATCTGATGAATTACTGGCGTATTTTTAATGCATTATGTTGGTCAGGACATGGTGCCTTCATTAAGGTGATATGCAGGGCCACACTTGACATCATGGCTACTTGCAGCGCTGACTAAAACTGCCAGTTTAAAATAAACGTATATACACTAGAAAGTGGATGAAGGGTTGACCACGAACTTAGCTTAGTTCGTTGAGCGTAAAACGCGTTATTCGAAGATTGCAGGTTCCGTCGCTGCCAGCGGCAAGTGATGTTTTCGTCCACTTTTCTTTCTTTACATTTACATGATGATTACTGCTAACAACATTCTTCATAGTTTCCTTCTTAGTTCTCATTATTTTTAAGTAACAGAACTTGTAGATAGAAAGTAAAAAATCTCTATGTTAGGACTCCAAATATAGACTGAAATCAAATTATTTATAATAGACGTTTTCTGCAGTAGTTCTTGCACACAAAACATTGCAGATGCAAAAAGCTACTGCTGCTGGAAGCACGCACCTGATAGGAACCCCAGTGCAGTTGCCGATGGCGAAGCCTGTGTGGAGTTTTCACAGAGGATCTTATAACAATAAATTGTTACCTTTTATTCTCTATATACGACGTTTTTTTTCCATTTCTTGTAGATCCTGCATGATGTGGTATTTGCTGCGACACAGGAGAAATTAAAAAAATGAACAATATTATGGTGAACGGGCACGCCATACGGTCATTTTACTATGACGATTGAGTGAGCGATGAAATATGAGCAGCTCATTACAATTTCGCCACAATCCTTTTAAATTTCATCAGAAAGAGGAGTAGTAACACACCCTCCTCACTCCTTGTTATCTGGCTATATTGTCTACTCGCATGGGGAGGGGGGTTGATTGGAGACTAAAGAGACCACATGCCACACTTCTTGTCCGTACAAACCACCAGTTCCGTCTTCAACTCAGCGTTGTATACACTGCGGCCATGTCTGCCTTAATAAATAGGCCAATTGTAATCTCCACCATGACGAATTTATTCGGTGTAGCTGCCTCCATGCACTGTTAGCCATGCTTGTAGCCGCTGTACCTCACCCACATTCTCTCTCCACTTGAGAAGATGGAAAGGATGGTCCTACGGGCGACTCATTCCTTCATTGCTCCTCTGTGATTAGTGGCGTGCTGTTGCAACGCAACGCTCAAAGGCATCATACACCACTGGTGAATTTTATGACAGCGCGAGTAGAGACCATAGAGGCGAAACATTTTGCTCACTCACACAATTTATTCAGTAGACTTTGTACAGAATGCTTCCGCAGTGTTAAGTGACTGAACATCCTGTTCAGCCGTGGTAGCCGTAGCCTCCGTAGCCGCCGAACTTTCCGTAGCCACCGAACCCACCGTAGCCTCCATAACCACCGTAACCGCCGTAACCACCATATCCGCCATAGTGACCAAAGCCACCATATCCACCGCCGTAACCTCCGCCGTAACCGCCGTAGCCGCCATATCCGATGCCGTAGCCAATGTATCCGGCAATGGTGGCAGCAACCATGGCAGTGAGAACCAGGAGGGCAAACTGAATGGAGAGACAGTCTGAGGTGGGCAGTGGGTACGATTAAGGCAAAGCGAAATTTGAAGCAGCATGCGTCGTTTGGTTCTTCGGTGTTTCTTATAGCTCGTTAAGTGTGATATAGCCCGTCTAGACTAAGGACGTTCGTTATAGGTACACTTCGGACATGGGTATTATATTTTTCCCAGTGCTTGCGATGAGAGCAGAATAGTGCTCAAAGCAAAGCTGTGCCTTTCTCCTGCGTCTTTGCCCTTATCTCAGAAAAGTAGCTACAAGTTGGAAACGTACTGCGCAAGCGCCCGTGTTGCATTATTCTCTATGCTTTACCTTGCAGATGCAGCGTCATAAATTAGGTGCTCCTGAATCACTCTCGTTAGCGGGTTGCATGGAAGCAAAAACGTTGCAGGGGTGTATATATTACGTTACGCTATGCAAACTGAGTACTTCGTATTAAGTCATGTAGGCATACTCATTTCCAGAGTAAAAAAGAAGGCACTCCGCCACTATATTAACAGATTATTGCACTAGTGACACCACTAGGTCTTGCAGGCAAGTTTGCCCTACAGATGCGTGAATTGTTTTTGTATACAGCAACTTCAATTGATATACATACTTGAACTAAAACAAATTGTAAACAACGTCATACTAAAGCATATTGCCACTGCTTTCCATTGATTAAGGTCACTGGCCCAAAAGATAACATGCTGTACAATGTATCAAGGACCTATCAATTTAGTAATCTGCACTTTGGAGAAGCGTCTACATCGTAACTATAACTTTGATAGCATATCTAAGATACGTTTGAACAGCCAAGACAGAATGACTACATTTTTCCATTAATTTAGAAGTACAATTACGTATTGAAGGTACAGGCAGAAAAACACTGAAACTCATTGGTGTCTTGAACATTTTGAAGCCCAGGAAGCACTTATACTGCACTAACAGACGTACATGTTTCTGCGAAACATGAGGAGGATTCGGTAAAATAAGATCGTTTGTGCATATTCAATGCAGGAAACCAACCTACCTGTCAGATATAAGAGCTTTCTTTTCTATTAATTTGTCTATTTCGTTACTTACTCTATTCTTTATTGCCTGGATCAAATATCTTTAGGTCAGGCCGCTCAGCGGTGATGCAATAAGAAATCGAATACACGCAGTATATTGTGGTAACACCTACCACCAAAAGAACCACCGCGTGTGTCGGGTTCATTAATGCTGTAATGATCTTGTTGTAGCAAGCCATACAGTTGAAACGCATTGCTTTCATGTAGTGTTGAGCTTACACGTTACTCAGTAAATATAGGAACTTTCAGCGTAAGAGCAAATCCGCCAGAATGAGTTTACAATATTTCATCACAACCAATTATTCTACACGAAAGGGCTCAGGCTTGCTAGCTGGACCTTTCGCTTAGTTATTTTGGTAATGCAAACTCTTCATTTTTTGCCTGTCCCACCTAACGCTAGTTGTAAGAAACGGCGGGCTCTATTGAGTGAGATAGGCACCTGTCGCCGATCAATATGCAGATTCACTGTTTTCTTGCCGATGATCGTGAAGGACAGAGTGACAGGCACTCGTTTCGGGAATGCGCACTGATTTAGTGAACAAAAGAATTGATCTAGGCTCAGAATTATTGGGGGCTCAAAATCTAGCTTTGAGCGGTGCTTCCCCCTAGCGATTGCAGTAACCCATCTGACTTACGCAGGCCTTCATTTTAGATGAATGGGAGGGACGCTGGAGTTTGTCGATTGAACAAGATCCTTTGGTTTGCTCGATGTGTGCTGCTCGGGCTGTCGGTCTTATATACCAAACCAGGCACCCACACAAAAAAGGCAGAACATGCTAATCTTCCACCACCTTCTCCTACCCTTCCCTCTTGCTCCCCCTCCCCAACTTCTCACTCCTTTTGGGTCTCGCTATATTCGAAGTAGAGCGGCGCGATTATTTGTTTCCGCGCAAGGTGCGTTCCTTAGACGTGCGTTCGTGAAATTATGAAAACAAGGTATCGCGGCGACCACGCCCTCGCAACGCTCTCGCGCGACTTGGGCGTCCGCAAGGCGGCCTGAAAGTGACAACAAAAGCAAGGCGACGCCACCGTGTTGCGCCGTAAAGGCACCTTGTGAAATGACGCTCTTGTAGCACCCGTTGTGTTCGCGACGTTTGTTTCAAGCGGCGTCTCGGATGCTGATGACCTGGTTTGGATCTTTAGTTTATTTACGCTGTTGCGTGCCACAGTGCCACCGCATGGTGTGCGTATCGGGTGCATGTGCCACGCAGCCCGCGATAGGCGCGTGCACGCTTTTGACAAGGCGGCGTATGCAAAGGAGAGAAAAAAAATAGGCCGCGCTACTCGAGAGAACGAACCGTGAAAAAAAAGTCCTGGCTTTTGAAAGGCCAGTATCTCTTATACAATATGAGCGCTAGTCATAGAAAACAACAACGACAAAAGAAAATGGTGGCTCTTGTAGTTTTGTTTCCTTCCTGCATTTCGGGTAATTGTTAACTCGGTTGAGAAGTTACTAGGTAGAACTGCACTGCTTTGATTGTCATACCCAGCACTGCTGAATCACGACCAAAGAGCGGCAATATTAGCAGTATTGTTTCTTTTTACATTCTAGTGGATTGGTCGTATAATGGATGTTGTACCGTATTTTTACTTTTCTTTGTGGTATTTAACATTCCAGTGCAACACACTCGTTGAGACACGCCGTAAAATAAAAACTGCTTGACTGCTTGAAACGCTCTATAGCATACAATGAAGCCATGCTACACAAGCTCGTTTGTGTTCATTCCACACTTAATAATTCACTTTTTATTGCTGAGTAAGGTATCTTTGACAAAACAAAAGGCCATGATAACTTATACTAAATGAGTCAAGTATGCATCTTTAATTGCTATTACTAAGTAAGCCACCTCAGTGCGCCATGCAGAGGTTACGGAATACTGTTGTTGACTTGAAAGGACGCAAGTTTGATGTCGGCCGCGACGGTTGCATGTCGATGAGGTTTGAATGCTATAGAGTCCAGTGTTCGTTAGAGAACCACAGCCGGCCAAAATTTCTGGTGGCCTCCACTACACCATGTCTTGAAGAGATATCATGATTTTGGCACGCAACGCTAAAAATGTGTGTAAACGACCTGCGGAAACTGCCTTTAAATGTTCTTGTCATGTCAGGCCTTCCGCCAGAAATTAATCCATGTCTCTCCGTTTTCCATTGTTTAGTGTCTCGCTGAGTGAGCTTCCAGCTGGTCAATGTTTGACCAAAATATTTAGTTTTTACTTTTGAATATAAATATAGCGTGCAAAATCAAACCGACAGACAGGTATTTCAAGAAGCACATGCCCTCTCTGATGATTATGTTCGAGAAATAAACACTGCCTTTATATATAGGAGAAACACCAGCGACAAAGCATATTCATAGCAAACTGACACTTTGAAGCATTTATGACGCCTTCGATAACTTACGGACACGCAGAATATGAAATGCCACTCAACGAGCTCGTTTACTTCTTTAGAGTTGCAACTATTTGTGAGCCGGTTATTGAAGTGTGATTTTTAAGTACGGAGCATTTTCGAGACCCGGGCTGTCGAATGCTGCTGACCCGTGGTGAAACGAGTACGCAACCATAGAGTTTTCTAATATACACAAGAGGGAAATCTCGCGATAGTGTCTATGAGAGCTGCAACGCAAGGTACTTCAGCGAGCTTGGGAATGATGGGTAGTATACACATTTGTCTAATCTTCGTACTCCTGGACAGCTTCATGTTCCCTGTGTGTTCGTGTGGCTTGGAGCTGTTTCCTCATGAAACAAAAATCAAAAGTTCAGCGTTGTGCTTCACCATCTTATTCTTTTATGCTTATCATCTTGAATCGGGTCATAAAGTTCAAAAGGGGTTCATTCTTTCCTCCAAAACAAAACCATAACCAGCAATAAACGAAGCCGCAAGTACAATTCGCTGCCCGCAAGTACGAAGACTAGGGATATGTTTGTACTGCCCATCATTCCTATGGTCGCTGAACGATCAAAGCGCCAGAGTCCCTTCTAGTTAATTTTTGAAAACTCTATGGACACAACCACTAATTAATGAAAAAAATAGGGAAAAAACATTGTGAAAAATAGAAACAGAGAGGAAACGAGGGGAAAAGGGAAAAAACCGGGAAATAGATAGAAATAAAGAGAGGCATTTCCAGAAATCGGGGACATCTGAACGTGGCGCCTTCCCACGGCGGCCGAAATGGCAGCCGGCCTTAATGGAATGGGAAATAGGTGACAAAACTTCATATTTCTTGAAATAGGCTGGTTATAAAAAACGACTCCAGGTTGTATGTACTGTGCACGTATTGATGCATTTGGCAAAATTGCAGTATCGCACTATAAGGCGTGCGGCTTCCCAGGACAATTGAACACTTCACTTAGAAACACATGGGATTACATTGTTGAACTTTAAACACTCTGGGAAGCCACACGATTCATAGCGCTTGATTGATTGATATTGTCACGTTTCTTAAGATAAACTTGGTTTATTGGGTTCGTTGAGTCGACTAGCCAAGCAGCAGCTCAGACAGATCGTCTTTGTCTTCTTCCACTCCCGGATCTCACCCAAGCATATCAGGTGGCATTAGTCCCCCCTTTGAAAGCATCGACTCGATGCTCGTAACGAAAAAAAAATGAAGGCATACACACGCAGATATAGAGAACCAAAGGAGGGAGAGTGCCAGTACTCGCAGCGCAAATGAGGAAATTGCGCCAATGCTTGCGCCAAGCGCAAAAACAAAAGGCATAAAAACACAGGAGAACACGAACAGCAGCAACAGCAGCACAATGTCACGGCTTGTCGCAACACGTGAACCACAAGGGCTACTGTGTGAAGTACGGCTTCAGCCTAACGACATGCACGGTTTCAGGTCGAAGCTGTCGACGAGAAGACGCTGCGCCGTCCGGAAATACCTCGTAGGTAAGATCGGTGACACGTCTAAGAACCTTGTACGGTCCAAAATAACGGCTTAGGAGTTTTTCGGATAAGCCTGGTCGCCGGACAGGGGTCCATACCCACACCCGGTCCCCAGGGTGGTAGGTGACGTTTCGATGGCGGAGGTTGTAACGTCGTGCGTCTTCATCTTGTTGGCAACTGGTGTTTATGCGAGCTAGCTGACGAGCTTCTTCGGCGTATTGAGTGTATTCCTCAGCGTCTGGAGCGATTTCATTGCTCTGGTCACACGGAAGCATAGCATCGAGCATGGTTCGCACGTTGCGTCCGTAAACGAGTCGGAAAGGTGGAAATCGCGTTGTTTCTTGCGTTGCCGTATTGTATGCAAACGTGATGTACGGAAGAATTTCGTCCCAGGTTTTGTGTTGTACGTCAACGTACATTGACAGCATGTCCGCTATGGTCTTGTTAAGCCTCTCTGTCAGTCCATTCGATTGCGGGTGATAAGCCGTCGTTTTTCGATGAGTTGTGCAGCTCAATTTAAAAATGTCCTCCATCATTCGTGCTGTAAATGACGTCCCTCTGTCCGTAATCACGCATGACGGGGCACCATGCCGTAGGACGATTTGGTGCACGAAGAACTGCGCGACTTCAGAGGATGTGCCACGGGGTAACGCTTTTGTTTCAGCATACCGAGTGAGATAATCTGTCGCAACTATAATCCATTTGTTCCCAGAGGACGACAAAGGGAAGGGTCCAAGAAGGTCCATTCCCACGAGGTCAAACGGTGTCTGTGGTGGTGCGATCGGCTGGAGCAGGCCTGCGGGTCTCACAGGCGGAGTCTTGCGACGCTGGCACTCACGGCAGCCTTTCACGTATCGATGTACACTTGTTGATAGTCGCGGCCAGTAATACTGTTGGCGTACTCTGGCGAGAGTTCGCGAATAGCCCAAATGTCCTGACGTGGGCTCGTCGTGACACGCAAGGAGGATCTCGTCCCGCATTTCGGTAGGAACAACGAGTAGGAAGGCTTTGTCGCTACCACGGGCGTTTTTCTTGTAAAAAATGCCTCTTCTTAAACAAAAAGAGGACAGTTCGCAAGCAATGTGTCGAGGGACCTGAGAGTTCCGGCCTTCCAGGGAATCAATAGCTGGGCGTAATTCGTCGTCTGCCCGCTGTTTTGACATAAATTCGGAATCGCTGACTGCTCCGAGAAAGGCATCTTCACCCTCGGAGCCCCTGACAGCGTGCCCCACAGGCGCTCGAGAAAGCGCGTCGGCATCTTCATGTTTGCGCCCTGACCTGTACACAATCGTAATATCGAACTCCTGCAAACGCAAACTCCACCGAGCGAGACGGCCGGATGGATCTCTGAGATTTGCCAGCCAGCAGAGCGAGTGGTGGTCAGTCACCACTTTGAAGGGACGACCGTATAGGTAGGGCCTAAACTTGGTCGTCGCCCACACGACTGCGAGGCATTCTTTTTCCGATGTAGAATAGTTGGTCTCGGCTTGAGAAAGAGTACGACTGGCGTAAGCTATTACATGTTCAACGCCACCGTGTCGATGTACAAGGACAGCGCCAAGTCCGACGTTGCTGGCATCTGTATGAATTTCTGTAGCAGCGTCCTCATCAAAATGGGCAAGAACAGGGGCTGTTTGCATTCTCCGCCGTAGCTCTGTGAACGCTGCATCTTGTTCTGCGCTCCAAGTAAAAGGTACGTCATCCAGAGTGATTCGCGTAAGAGGTTCAGCTATCTTCGAGAAGTTGGCGATAAATCGGCGATAATACGCGCACAAGCCGAGGAAACGGCGTACTGCTCTTTTATCTGATGGAACAGGGAAGGCGGCGACAG